CCCAACCTTCCTCCTCTTTTCACATTACGTTAAAATTGACATTTCATTTTTATATCCAGGAGCCAGTGTCTGGAGGAACCCCGGAGAGTCGCAGAATCCAAGCAGCTTAAGGTGCAGAGAGAAGTTTTAATGGTGAGGGGCAATTCCAGCAGCCATGCCAAGCCAAGCCACGTCTCCATGTGTTTGTAAAAAGCTTTTTGTTGAAAACATCATATATGCAGTACCAACATGGCTGTTTTTTTTTATAGTCCCTTTAAAGCCTTTAGCACCATGACTTTTACATTGGTTTCCTTTTCTCCTATATCGTCTACATTCTTGATCACTGCTACACTTTATAAATGGTAATGTTCATTTCATTTCACTGTTGTAAGTTGCTCATTCACTGTCATAAGCTGTATGCATCGAAATTTTATTTTGTACACCCTCTGTTGTTCTTGTTTGAAATACATCTTAATGTCTAAATTGATTATTTGGTATATTATTTGATAACTGACTCACTGCCTTCTATGCTAAAATTGCTATGAATCTGCAGTAGTTTGACAGATTTATAGACGGTTATTAGAAGCCTAATGTGGACCAGTTTCAGCTGGAACTTTCAAGGATAGGATATTAACAGAATGAGCTGGACTCAAACCCAGTTAATTATTATACATGGTGTCTACAGGAAGAGCTAAACAACTTCATATTTCATGATGCAAAAATAGCAGCCAAGTACAGGATTTTTTTCTCTTGTTATTGTTGTAAGGGAATTTTAATTATTCTTTTTCAGGTACAAATTAAACTCCTCTCCTCATCTGCTTCTGAGATATTCTGTCAGTCCAACATCTTTTCTGCAAGAAACTGTCGCAGTGGTAAAATGTGGCAAAATGTGTAGATGTATGTGTAAAACTGTTATGTTCCTTTTAGTGAAAAAAATTAACTTTGGGGTGATATCAAGAAAGTCCCTTGTCAATGTGCAGCCACCTACAGCTCAGATGATCAAAATAAAAGAAATAAGAAGTAGTACCCACTCTAAGAAAACTCCAGCTTACTTTTCAGCTAACCAAAAACCAACACCAGGTAACCTTGTCCTGGATGTCAAAATACAGCCTTCAGCACCTAACATATTTTTTCATGTATTTACATGGCTGTTACATTGACATTTCCCTATCACCAAATTACTGTTTCCCTGACAGAAGCAAACACCTCTCTAGGGAAGCAGTGGACCCTGTGAAAAATCGTTTAAGAAGAGTCAACAAAGTGTGAGGTGTTCGCCTAGCCTCTAAATTCTCCCGATAACCATTGGGCCTTGATAATATCAACAAAAGGCAAGCACGATTTACAGACACAAGATACAGAGCCCAATAGCTTTACTGGTTCAATTCAGAGTGTGATTCCAGAACTCTCTATGTACATTTTAATCTCTGAAACCCAGATAAGGCTGATACAAACACGCAAAAAATTGCTTTTGGTTATGTATACACATTTAATTAAAAAAATGTAGAAAAAATATAACCTTTAATTTTGGTGCATTTATCTAAAATCTTTGTTGACATGTATTCTCACCAATGCTGTTAATAGCTTGTACAACCTAATTAATCCAAAAATAGACTCAATCTTCTCCTTTAACATGTTTTCAAGCCTATAGAGAAAGGGATCTTTAACGGTTCTTCGTACAACGTACAAATTTGCGTCATTGATCTTCCATCATACTTAATTGTGAGCATGAGGTTATTAGCTACATATTCATGCCTTATTTCTCACCGAACCCAGCTAATGTTTGTTACTAAAAAGGTTGATCTTTTTTTCCTAACCAAAGCACACAGCTCTACTGTAGATACTCTGTGCCTTTCTATCAAACAGATCAGTGTGTGGATGCAAAACAACTTCCTCCAGTTAAATACAGATAAAACTGAGATAATTCTCTTTGGATCACAAAAACCTAGAGAACCTATCATTGGAGTCTTTCATTAGAAGTAAAAAATCAAGTTATAAATCTCAGAGTACTCAGACCTGAATTTCAAAAGTTATATTCAGTCCATTACATCAATGGCCTATTACCATCTAAAAAACATTACTAAAATAAAAGTGTCTAAATCAGACTTGGAGAGATTAATCCATGCACTTGTCTCCTGCAGGTTAGACTATTGAAAAGACCTGTTCACTGGCCTTTCCAAGCAATCTGTTAGACAACTGCAGTTTATCCAAAATTCTGCAGCTTAAGTCCTCGCCAGAACCAGGAAATATGACCAGATTAGTTCAGTGCTCCGGTCTCTGCACTGGTTTCCTGTTGCACAGAGAATAAACTTTAATACAGCTCTACTTTGTAAAACCGAAGGTCTGGAACAGCCTCTGAGGATCTAAAACAAGCCTCAACCCTGACTCTGGCCCCATTTACACTACCCCCCCGAAACCGATCCGTGTCAAGTCAACCATTTACACATCAAGCTAGCATGGTTCCTTGCCTCCTATAGGCGGTCCATGATACTACAGCTCTCAGGGCGGGAATTACGCAAACAAAAATGGTGACGCCCTTGACATTCAGCAACATATGTGTCTGGATTGCGTCTTCCACCCTAATTTCAATGAGAGCCTCGGTCTTTGCATCATCCCAGGTTGCACTAGGCTCTTGACATGCCATTTATTGTTAATAGGCTGGGAACAAGTTGGTGTTGTGAACAGTTGAAGAGATCTGTGAATTACAAAGCCGGACATGCCGTACAACCGGCGAAATGAGTCAGCTGACTGTAAATAGGAGATGACGCGGTCTGCTCATGCCCTCTTCGTCATCAGAGAACTGAGCCACAACTGAACTGTGCCAAGCCCTACTGTTGAAATAGTACTAGATTTAGCACGATTCGGTTGTATCTGGCATGGTCCAGTTCAGTTGCGTTCCATTTACACTCAACAGTTATATCAATTACAGTGCTCAGACTGTTCCAGGCATGGTTTCAAAAGGGTAGTATAAATAGGGCTTCTGTTTAAGTCCAGATTAAAAACATACCTATTTAGGGTTACCTATGGTGATTGTGTATTTTAACTACTTTTAATCTATAATATATATATTCTTTATATATTTGTATTGATTGAATTTGTTTTATTGTGTTTGTATTGTTGGTGTAGCTGTGAGGCACATTGAGTTGCCTTGTACATGAAATGTGCTGTATAAATAAAGTTGCCTTGCCATGCTTACTTCAAATCACAGCTCCTTTTAACAATCTTCACAAGTTTACACTTGATAAGTACAAACAGAAAATGCTTTCTCTCTGCTCCCTCAAAAACACTTGAAGACTCTTTGCTGCTGTTTTCGAAAAATGAAGTCTGAAGATATATAAATATATATCTTTACTTCATTTTCAAACCTGCATGTAGTGACATAACTCAGAAATGTACTTTTGTGTCACACCATATTAACAACTACACGAAACAGGAAGTTACAGATTTTTTAATTCTCTCCTACTATTTATTTTGATCAAATCAAAAATGGTTTAATCAAATTAAAACACTACAGTTTAGTTATAATTACCTTAAAATTGATTGTAATGGTTACAAATAATTTTACCAAAGCTTATTCTATTAAAATCTGTTTGTTTTTTTTAACACCCACTGAATCAATTTACTAATGTCAAGGTTTAGAAGAGTGTGAGATTCCACTAAATCAATTAAAGTTAATTAAATTCTAGGTCTGTCTACTTCTTTGAGTCCCAACGATTTGGTCTGAGTTTTTAAAAAAATTGAAAATGGGATTAAAGATATTAGCAGCTGGTCTTTATCTTGTCTGATTTTTTTTAGATTAGCCTTCAACATAATAAAGGAGCAAAAAAAACAAGAGCATAATCAACTTAAAATTTACAGAAGGAACACTGATGCAAAGCTTGCTTGTCATGTTTGTCTAAAACATAGATCTTCAGAGGATGATACATTTCTGTTTTTTTTAATCAGTTTTCTCTTCTCTTTTTACTTGTCACAATGTAGCAAAGGCTCACAGAGACCCTTTGAAAGCAATAGTAAGCTTAGACAAAGAGAGCGCTGAATAGGTTTTGAGTTTTACCGAGTTATTCTCTGCCAGGTACAACAGGTCAAACACAGGTGCTCTCACTACAGAGATGAAGCCCATCAAGCATAGACCCTGCTTTAATAGTTGCCATGGAAACTAATAAACCATAAACTGCCCCTGCAATCAGGATTACTTTGTAATGTAGATAGTAATCTTGCTTGTGGGTGTGTAAAAACAAAAAACAAAAAACAAAACAAATATATCCCCACTGTAGATAATAATTATAGCAATACACTGCAATAAAACAGAGAAATTAAGCATTTTTCATGATTGTCTTTTGTAAACAAAACATAACATGCCTGTGTGTGTTTGTTACCCTTATAGCTGAGAGCAGATCAATTAGTGTACTGTTTGCTAAGCATGCTGCCTGTGGCACTGCTGCTATGAAATCAATAACTGGCTGAAACCCTGCGTGCCACTGAAGCATGATACTGCAAACAGAAAACACACTCAACTCCATTTCTTTGTCGCTTATTCTATTCCTCCGTTTCTCTTTGTCTTCCTTTATCACCCCAACATTAACACTATACTCCAAGTTAAATTGCTCCTGAGTGATTTTCTTAACTAAACCACAATGTGACAGGCCCACAGACAGTCTAATATACTGATTCCTATTGCTAGGTGGTTGTGGGGTAAATATAATGATATACCCCCCCTGCATGGTCTTTCCTGGGGTGGATGAATGACTTGAGAGGTACTCAACTGATTAACTCACTGTATTGTTGTAGTCACTCACCAGTCTGCCCCTATATAAATTGGAGGGGAGATAGCAAAACCAAGACACGCTTTATTTTACATGTTGACCTTTTAATTTGCTCACTAAATTAAAGCAGACAATCTAAATATATTCTGAAAAGGGGACTAACATGAGTTTTTTTCCACACAGTGCTTTGATTTTATCGTTTAATGCAAATGGAACTCCCCGAAATAATAAAATATTAGAATTAGCAATGTTTGGACTTACAGGATGGCTGGGTGTTCTCCAATATGTCTGGGTAGCCTTATCATAGAGCTGCGTCCGTTTGTCCATCTGTCTTTCTTTCATTTGTAGTGAAGATGAAGCCATCTGTTGTTGGCACTGACATCTAACCTGTCGTCCTTCGTAGGCCTAAAATACAAGTAGGGTAAATAAAAAAACATGGTTTTTAAATAGTGAAAAGGGTGATTCAAGAAGCACATGACAGGCATATTTGTTGTAATCTACATATTTAATATTATACATCTAGGCTTTAACATACGACTACATAGCAGCTAATACTTGGATAAATACGTTCTATACACACATTTACAGTGAGTAGGATTACTGATTAATGTTCACTACCCATATTAAATCTCATACTTTTTAAAGAAAACCAGTTTGAACCTATTTCCTAAACGTTGTCATACCTTAATTTTACTTAAATTAAAAACAAAGTTTGTTCAATTCTTTCCCACCTTTTATGAAAATGCAGATATTTTTCTTTTTTTTGAGCATGTACGATTTTAGATTACGGTATCTCTGTAATTATACCCTCTGTCTCTCACAGCAAGTTTTTGTATGCTGCCTAGTGGCTATGTCTTTCTAGCAGTACAGTATACAGTAATTGTAAGGTTTGAAAATCTAAAAGATAATTTAACAAGTAGGAATTACTGAATAAAGGATTGGTGTAGTCATACTGTAATCTGTAATCTTATCATTTAGGCTTTTCTTTACCAAGAATTATATAATTCTTAAACCTCTTCTAGAATTATATATTCTAAAATCTCGCAAAGCAGTGAAAGTAATAAAACAGGCCTATAGTGAATTGGTGTCTACCTCCTGTTTAGTAAAAATTGTATAATTTTTGCCATTTTCATCTGTTGGAAATTAACCAATTTGGAAAGAAAGCTTATAGATATACGTCAGGGTTTTAGAAACTTCACCAATTATCCAAGTTTTTTTAATGCTTAACTTGACTTGGTTTATATCCCATTCCAACTTTAATGTTTAAAATAAAACAGAAATATTTTTGCATTGTCCACTAGTGGTAATATTCAGTTGTGTGAGCATCAGAGAATATTGTGGGTGTTAAATTAATACCTTTTTATGACTAATCTATAATTAATAAATCAGAGATGTGCTATTATTTTTTTTTGCAACCTGTCTGGTGTATATTAAAAAAAAAACAACATTGATTTAGTTTATGTTTTTTTATAATGTATCAATATGCATGTGGTGTGATGAGATGATGTACCTGACCTCAGATACTGCACCAGTTTAATGTGAAGAAAGCCAGGAGAGCGTACATGATCTAAACTTTGATTAAAATTTGCAAGACATGATTGGAAATTCAAAAAAAGCTATAACCGCTTCAGAGAAACATGATTACATGATAATGTAGACATAATGTCTTAGAGAGTGGCAGAACTACAGGCTAAACCTGAGGCTGCTTTGGTCAAGTAGGACTTTAATAACAATTTTCACTTTCTAATAGCTCTGCTTTCTCTCAGATTTTTCAATCTCAGCCCTCCACACACATATAGATCAAAGGAAGACATTTTGCAGCAACACACACCTCCATTTGTTTTCTTTCTCCATTATGTTGCATTCACTCAGCTGTTACCGACTTTAGCCTCCAAACAGCTTCTAACACCATAACAATTTCAGGAACAAACACCAAGACTTAAACTTTCTAATTCAAGTCGACCAAGCACTCTCCCTGGGCAAAAAAAAAAGCTCCTGCTGAAATTGGTTGTTTCTCTCAGCTAACCCAGACATTAAAACCCACCCTACTCCCCCAGTTTTAAGTATTTTCCTACATATAAGGAAATCAGAGAATGAAAGCACACCATTTTCTGATTTTCTTTGTTGAATTTCCTAAGATAGCCTCAAAACCAAAAAGTAATTTTTCTTTTCTTTTTCTCTTTGTCCTGACAAGTTCACTCTTACAACCTTTACACTCATTATGTTACTCTACAGAACAAAAACCCAGGTACTTTTTTTTTTGATTATTGGGAGTTAAGGTTGTGACAATACTGTGCAGCCTGAAGAGCTGTGGGTGGGTGTTGATCTTAATTGGCCACATAGCATGTCACTGATAAGCTGGTGGATAGGTCCTGCGTTGACATTTTGGTATTTCTCAGTATGGCAGTTATTTGAATAATGTCAGCCACACATATGATTTTTTTCTGTTTTTAAGCCAACCAGAAAACACTAATAAATGTTAGGGTGGAAATGAAACCAGTCAAAATCAGAGAAAATAAATATTGCTTGTAGTGTTGCCACACACAATGAGCAGTGTCTCTGCAAGTCTACTGCTGCTATTAGGCAGCTGAGCAGCAGTCCTGCCATAATAGGCTCACATAATCATTGTATTCTCATTAATATTCTCCTTCTATACAATAAAACCAGAATTCCAGAAACACACTGAATTTATGAAAAGTAATATAAAACAACCCATGTAAAGATAATTAAGATTTTTTCTTAAAGGTATAGTGGAATATGATCTTTTCCAGGTGGATCACCAAAATAAGTGGTCCTTCTTATTTTCAATCATTTTGGTGATATGTTTACATAAGGCCATCTTACGTGTTCGTCCCCATTTGCACGTACCGCTGGTGAATCTGACAAAGTCGAAAATTTGCAAATCTTCTTTTGTAAAGTAAGCTTTTATGAGCGATGCAAACACTGACTTTTAAACAGAGCATGCACGAGGAGAAATGGGCTCGAGCATGCGTCTATTAGGCGTTCCCTCTTGGGAGCGGGTACAGGTTTGTGCATGCGCATTTTTTTTTAATCGTCCACTATACCTTTAAATTGCATATTTACATGATTATCATCATAGCATCATAATGACCAAAAAAAACAGCAGACATGTAAGATATAAAGTTGTGGAGAATTTTTAAGCTGTACTAGAAAATAATAATAATAATAATAATAATAATAATGTTCTAAGTTTTCACACTCTCACAAAGCATTTCTGAATCCACCATCCACAATTGAACTGAGAATTGGACAGCTGTAAATTTACCAAACCACAGCCATTCACCCAAATTGGCCAGGCAGGTGATAGGAAATTCTGCAGAGGTTCATAACTCAGGTGGATAAGTATCTTGAAAGAACATTAACTATACACTCTCCAAATCTCATCTATATGAAAAGGTAGAAGAAAATAATTTGCTGAAGGAATTGCACAACAAGGATTGGGCTGGTGTTATACTACATCCAGGTCAAAACATTACCACATTGCAGCATGGTGGGGGTGGGATCATATTCAGAAACTAAAATACCATCTTTAAACTGTTAACATAAGCTCCTCTCTGATTCTGTCTTTTTTATGTTAAATGATGTGTTGTGGTGTTGGGCTTTATTTAAAACCTGATGGAAAATGTGGAGTGAAGGGGTTTTTTTTGTTTTTTTTTATTGTAGGCGCAACGGGAAAAGCCCACAAGGGCATGCTCTCCTTAAAGTGAAATTTTGTTCCTCCTTCTGTATTGACGTCAATCATGGAAGAATGCCAACATTACTCTGTCTTGCTATCATCACTTACATATCTATTCCACTAAAAGGGCAGCATCCTTCAACGTGCTAAGACAAAAAAGGGATTCAAATGAACTCTAACTTATTTATTTGATCTTAAAATTATTAAAAAGTTATTTAAAGACAATATCAGAAGGATTATATATGTAAAATGTCAGGTTTTGACTCCACTAACAAAAATACAAACTGTAAGGTGAGCTCTGCAGACTGTTTACAACTGAGGCTTGGTAGAAGGTTAAAAATGTGCCCACGAAGGCATGCATAAAACAGTGACTCTTTCCCCATCTCATCTCCAAATAAATAGAGTCATTCAGGCATTAAATTTCTATTAGATTTGATAGCTAACCTGTGTATAATTTTCTCATACACTCTAGCTATTCATTTAATATAATTCTAATCTAAAAAAGGCTTAACTCTAATTTCTTTATTCAAGATATGCAGAACAACAGCGTCTCCCTGCAGTCTACTGAATACATGGCATGAATATTAATCATTTAGTGTGACTTTTTACTTGAATTAGTCCTGTTGATACCAACTCACCATTTGTTCTCGCTGATGATGCTGTTGTAGTTGTTGGCACTGCACAGTGAGCAGAGCTATCGTCTTTTCTCTGCTTCTCAGCTCCTCCCTGAGGACCTGCACTTCCTTAATCAGGGCCTCAATCTGAAAGCATAAACATACAGCATGTTACACTAATAGGAGACAAGATCATACGGGGGAATATCGGGGATATTTGCTCAATGCATACACGGTATTAGGTGTAAATCTTTGCTAAACCCAAGAAAAGTTTCTTACCTGTGAGGCAGCCGTATTGTCTTCCGTCTGGTCACAAACATCTGCTGGAGACCCTGTTTCTTCAAGCTTAAAACAGAAAAAAAACACACGCACAGAGGGGGGCAAACAAACAGATGCAGGGAACAAAGTGAGCTGAATCAATTGCCTAAGGCATGCCTCAAAAGCAATATTTCATAACCGTGAAAGCATCTCACTCTTCCGTACAGATTCTTCTATGACCCTGAACTGCTAGGCACCAGTGCCGCATACTGGAGGCACAGTATGGGATTGAATATTCTATATATTTTGATTTTCTGAGACCAAAAACTGTCCTCCCCTAAGCAGGCTTATATAAGAACAGCCGATTTTCAGTCTGTTCCTTCTGACAACAAGCCAAGACTTTTTTTTTGTCTTTGGTTTGACAGTTTTCACTCCAATAGCAATTCTTTTTTTTTTCTTGTCAAAATTAGGAATGGGTTGTCAAAAGTTTTAGAAAAATATCCGTTATTTTCATTCAAAGTCAACATGTACGGTTTAAAAGGGCATACTTCATATTGCTGGAAGTCACAAATAGGTATTCAGTTTTTCATTTTGACACTTAGCTGAGAGAAACTTTACTCCAACACCCCGTTGAACCTGATGCTCATTAAAGTTACACTGGAATTATGGAGCAAAGTCTTGCAGAAGTTAAAAGAACTTTGAAATTCAGAAAAATGTGCCAGAGATAAATTTAGATTAAGCTAAAGAGGGTTTCTGGCAAACTGCATGCCTGGAGCTTAATGTAGTATAAAAACAAAAACAAATGGGAAGACGTTATGCTGTGGGCTAGGAAAATATTTCCCTTCAATTGAATGGTTTGACTATCTTCTGCATGAAAATTTAAACCAACGAAAGAGAAATATTCAAAACAAAATGCAAATATCAATGTTTAAGATATTCAGACAAGATCCTGCGATCACTGAAAGCGCTGTATTTTTGGCATAATAAACACTCAGTTGATCTGGAAGGTGTTACTAACAAAAGGAAGCTCAAAGTCTACAATTTCAAATATCAACAGGTTTTTTAACAATTATGTAAATGAGGCACAGAGATGCAAAAGGCTATTTAGTTGGAATTTTCTGTTGCGATATCGTAAGCCATGCCTGCAGTCAATTAGGGCTGCAAGAGAGCGAGAGACTTAAAGGAAGTAAGAAGGCTGAAAAGATTAAAATATTGTTGCTTTACTTTATCCTTCTGTTAGTAGAACTTCTGTTTGTCATGCAACATGTTAGGTTTGGAAATATGACATCCATTGAAGTCACATTGACTTAAGGATAGAAACAAAAATGTACTACTAACCATGCTAATCTTTTCTATAAGATTTTAAAGACAGCTTGAATTTCAAATGCTTATTTTTTGCTTTCAATAATAGTGTTGCACCAATACGAATACCAGTATCGGGCAGGGCCTCGATCAAGCACTAAAACGGGGGTATCGATGAGTACCGACAAATAGGGCACCGATACAGTTTTGAGAGCCAAAAGTTTGTTTAACTATTGTCACCCATTCCAGGTATGTAATAGAAAGTTCTACTGGATTCATTTTGTATTAGTCTATTTCCTGCTTCACAAAGGTAGGCAGCAGCTTGACAAAGCCATGATGGCAATTATTTAACATTTAGTATGCAGTTCGTCATATATACACGCACATCAATTTCAAACAGATGGTATCTTTATCGTATCGGCCGATACTGCGAAGCCAGGTATCGGGGCCAAAAAATTGCATTGGCGCAACACTATTAAATAACAGACAAAAAACTCTTATCTTCAATCTTACAGTCTAACTCTATCCTTTCCAGGTCTGAAAATCTTGCTCCCATAGAGCTATATTTCTCAGAGTTGGGAGTGGAAAGGATAATTTCCTTGCAGACCTGATTTCAGTCCTATAACACAATTGTGGAATTAGCTGTGGGTGGCCAAAAGCTAACGCTTGCCATTAGTTTTTCATATACCACTGAAGCCCCTGTTTGTTACTTGAATAAATTGTTTCTATAAACTTTAATCATTCAATCAAATGGCACTAAACAAGAGTTAATAGCAGGACAAGGCATTTACAAAGAGGATTTGGCAGGCCATCCTTGGGTGCAACCCAAACACATTTCACCTACAAATGTGGGACCACCTATAGGGATATAACAGGCTTTCTGACAATATGATGACTGCCAAACAGCATAATTAGCACATTTTTGATTTTTGACAGAGATTAAGTCTGTTATCTTTTGGTATTTGGTTATTATGAGAGTTTTATTTATCATGTTTTATCTTGGTTTTAAAGAAATGTCTATCCATCCATCCATCCATCCATCCATCCATCCATCCATCCATCCATCCATCCATCCATCCATCCATCCATCCATCCATCCATCCAGCTTTTAAAGAGTTACAGAAAATGTAAACTGAGAACTTTTATCATGCTGAAAATATAATAATTTTATAAGGAAGGTTGCAAATGTGGGTCCAACCTGCAGTAACGTTTTCAGCATGAGCAGTTGATTCTTCAGCATGCTGCAGTCCTCTGCCATGTGTTGAAGAGCAGGTTCATCCAGCATTGGTCTGTAGACTGGCTGCTTGCCTTCAGACCGGACCGGGTGAGAGGGAAGCCTCAGATTCTTCTGACCGTCATAATTATTTAGGAAATGAAGCCTGAAAGAAAAAAAGAAGTAGGAGTTGGTGTAATTTTTCTACTGCTGTCATTTTACTGTTCACTTCGGCTATGGAAGCTTAACCAACCTGCTGTCATGGAAGAAGTGATCTGGACCACTCCAGCGGTGCTGCTTACGTCTCTGCCCCTGCCGGCTACCTCTGTCTGAGCGCTCCATGAGAGACATACTGTCAAAGTCTGTAGGGAAGGAATTTAGAGCAAAGGTAAGAAAGCAGCAATGAGCGTAAAGGTTTCTTAAACTTTATGCAGAGCAGAAAAAATTAGATGCAAAAATTATAGGCGAATCATTTTTGGAAAAAAAGTAAAAGTTGGCAGCACATATGTAGCCATTTCTTAAGCTATGACTTGAACAGAACTGACAGCTAAACATGGTTACAAGGACATCAAAATGACTACAGCTTTTTCTAAGAGACCCTGAAAAAAGAAAAAAAAAAACTGGAAGCAGATAAAGTCTGTAAACCTCATTCAAATGAATTCAGCAGCCATGTTTAACATACTTTACCCAGAGCGTCACTAAATAGCACAGGAGCAGACAACCGGTCTGATATGTAGCCGTTACATTCCTGGGAACTTAAGAGCCTCCAATGACTCTTTTCAGCTCAGATAAAGTCCTTTAGAAAGAAATACAAACCGAATAGAAATAGTCCATGAATTTAGATAAAGTCAGCAACAGACTGGAGAGAATCGACGCCCTGCCTAGTTAGATGATTTGTTAAAAGCTGGGGAAAAGCCAGCGCAGGTCCTGGGCTGTCTGACCCTGTCTTTGTTGACAGCCTTGTTTTTCTGGAAACTCCCTAGGAGCTGGAACTGGTGGAGGAGAGGAGAGCGAGAGGTCTGTGGTGGGTTCTGGTGAGAGCAAGGGAGGTGACTGGTTTGTGTCCAAGCAAGGAAGTTGCCAGCTGGGAGAGCAAAGCTGTGGCCTCCCTCCCTTCAAGGGGCCTGACAGCTGGATGAAAACATAAAGCAAACTTCTTTCTCCTATTCTCTCTATTTTTCCTCTTCCTGTTTTGTGTCAGTATTACTCTCTTTCCGTTGCCACATCTCAGGGGCTGCCCTGTGGGCTGGATTCAACTGAACTCCTCAATGTGTGTTACTGTTACTTCGCCTCTTGTGACACAAATTCTAGAAGTGACACACAGAGCTATAAATATGGCTGCTACCCGAATAGGAGTAGGAAGAGATGACGCTCCAAATGACATTCCTGCAGAGTGAACATTCCCTTCCCTCTAACCATCTCCTGTTCTCCCCAAGGAAATTACTGTTTACATGCACTATATATGTGCTTTCAAGTTGTTTAGATATATTCTAGATGGTTATTTAAGCTATTATAGTTTAATCCAAGTTATACAAATTTTTGGTCAGCATTACGTATCTAACTTTTCTAGTTTAGCTATGGTAAAGAAGTTGAAGGATACTTCTGTTGGAACCAAAAGGAAAAAAATAAGCCTTGTTGTTACATTACAAAGAAAGAACCCTGTAACTTCAAGTCCTACATAATATATTCTAACGATAAATATAAATAAAGTCAGTTTTATGGGATTAAATAGTATCTGATATATGTGCAAGGTTCACAAAGGGTTCAGAACCAGACACTGCAGATTATGCAATGAAATCAATAATTTGTGCATCAATTTTTAACAGTCAAACATCAAAACAGAGTACTCTTTTTTTATATAAAGTTGATAGTATTTCTTTCTTTTTTTTAATGGTTAAGTTCCTGCAGTTTAATTGTTCAACTGTTAAAAATGTTGACGAGGGAAGGGACTTCCTAGGGAACCAAAGATGGGCCTGAAGAAGAGTTTGGGAACCACTGCCATAAATTTCAACTTGATTTTCATATAAGCAGGAAAGCTTCTTACACAAGTTTGCTGTGTCTCTTACAATGCTTATGGCAAACTCTACACAGGCCTTATATATTATTTTAAGCAATGTTTTTTTTTTCCCTCACCTTTCCTGAACAATGATTATATTTGAAAGAGTTTGGGGTTCCATTATTGTCAAATATGTGTCTATGTTTATGTGTATATGTTCTTGTGTATGTGTTATGTGCTTATGTCTTAGTAAGGTATATATGTCAGGTAATAATACTAGGTTTATGTTAGCTGCTCATGTTAGGTGCATATTTGATCCGACAAGCTTAGCTTGCCAATCTATAGGTAGTGTCTCATATTTTCTCTGCAGTACATCTCAAGCTCCATCAGGTTGGATGTTAGATGTACGTCTGCCATTTTCAGAGATATGCCTGACACTCCAGTCTGGACTCAGGATTAACCACTCCAGGAGATTTATATATGGGCTCTGATTCACCCCTTTGAGATCTTAGCACATAAAATGTACACCTAGCAGAGAAATAGACATATTTTTGGCACTAATGGAACCCCATAACGGAGTGCACAGATTATAGTTGTCTTGCCAATAGATTTCACCATAGCAGCAGTGCACCTATAATATTCTGAAAGTCCTGCAGAGTAACTGATACAACTTTGGGGTTTGTCTTGGTAGGTTTGCCACTGTGCCTTACTCTGTATTTGTATAGTATGTATAGTATATGAACAGAGATTATGCAGCTTGAGATAATCTATTACCAAACCCTGCTTTAAACTTTATCCATCCAGATTATATAATTTCCCAACTGATGTTCTCTAAAAAACCTTGAGAGCTCTTTATGTCTGAAATTAGATTCCCCGTATATATTATTAATATTAATTACACTAATTATTAGTAAGGTTATTACTAAAGCCAGTTCGAATTGACCTTTTTTATGTAAGAGTATTACACTTAGGGGTCTGAAAGACAAATGAAAACCACACATTTTAACATCTTAACCAAAAAACAAACAAACATATTTTACATTTTGTGTTGGTCTATCATATAAAATAACACCAAAACAAGTTAAAATGAGTGTTTGTAATGTGAAATGATGTTCAAGTTGAAGGAAACTTAAATGGACATACAGATCACAAAAATAAAGGATCAGTTGTGATTCAGCACATTTTTAAAGCAGCTTTTAATGAAAGCTTGGCACTCCTACATAATAAAACAGGTTTTAAGACATGAAGCGCCAACATAAGACCAAGTTATTATTCCCAAAAGTTTTTCTAATAAGCAGCAAATGGTGTCCTGATGCCCCTTTACACATTTATACTGCATGTACACACAACAGTATATATACTCAGTAGATTGAATTTCATACATTTCATGGCCCCTAAAGGAAGCCCTGTTTGTTAAAAAAAAAACCTGCCAGAGTCATCTACAGTGAACTAGTGCATTAAACCCATTAGCAATGAATCGTCTGGCTTCAAGACTGACAAGAAATAAGTAATTTTCCTAGAATTCATTATATTTCATGACAGGAAAAGGTCAATCCATGACCCTTCTTTTTACTCAACCGACAATATAATGCAACAGAGCCTGAAAGGGGTGTAACGATGTCAGCATTGTTATTATGTAGTAATACTATGACCTGATTACCTTTAATGCCCACAAAGAAACCATTTATTTAGTCTTAATGAGACTGCTGTCTACATGTTTGTATCCAAAAATTGGAAATAATAATAAAAAAAAAAACGTATGAAACTTTGGGAGAGATGATATCTAAGCAGAAATTTGTGATGTAAGGTGTGGCTATCGAGATATTAAAGTAATCACGCCAACATCACACTGCTGTTATTAAGGGAAACATATGTTTGAGCTGATTCCATACAAATGCACTGTGGTTTTCTTGCAACAGTGAATGTCAATCATGCACATCCATGTGCATCTGTTCATAAAAACAAAAGCCCAACAGCTGGATAAAAACACTGCTCCAAGTTAGCTGATGAACATTCAGTCAAAGTCTGGAGTTGTTGCTTAATAGTTCTTTAAAAAAAAAAAAAGACAAATATTAAAAGAGTGACAGGACACATGACACAACAAGGCATCTATTAAACTACTTTAATGGATGTTGCTATGGCAAATATGCACCCAAGGCAAAGCAGGATTCAATTTATTCAAACCATTATATCCCTCAAAAGAATTCTACTGGAAATGGAAAGCAGAGGCCTTGGCAGCGCATTCATTTACATTTATGATAGGACAGTTTTGCTGGAGGTATCCGCTTATACAAAAATAATGGACAACCTCCAGCAACAGGAACTTAAGTATTCATCATGGCCTTATGCGGAGTAATCACAATAACACCAGCAAATGTATTCGTATGTGTGTGCTGACCGTGCAAGCCATCCTCTGGGAGGTCCGCATCCAGCATGAGATCATTATCGTCCAAATCTCCCGTTCCCAGAGGGTCCAGGTTGTTTAGGATGTCCTGCGAATTACAAAATTGTAGGTAACACCTCATTATAACACATCATACAGCACAGTGGAGACACTGTGAATACATTAGAGTCATATTCTGCAAAGGAAACTGAAGGAAAGGTAAAATGACAAATGGCAGAAAAGAAAAAAGAAAAAACAACAGGGTTTGGTTGCGTCGAATAACGGTTTGTCAGCATGTACTGGCTGCATTCTTAAGGGAATTTTGAAACATACTGTAAAAAGAAGCATCACACAGTTGTTGTTAATTTGTCATCTGTCCATCAATGATCCAAATCTCATGTCCAACCACATCCCAGAAGTTATCTGATGAATTAAGTTTTAAAAGTTAAAGAGGCCACTAGAATTCACGGTCAATATGGATATACTGCAGTAATAATGGGAGGACACCATAACAAACTGTCGTTGGCCAGGTCATGAACGTTATGGACACAGGCTCTTATATAGTCATGGAGCCAACTCTACTATTTTTCTGCCTGTTTGACTACCGGTCATGGCTGACGCAAGGAAAAAGTTTAAACCTTCTGAGGAGACTAAAAACAGAGAACGTGAAAGGGATCCTGCACAAAGAAAAACAAGAGTCGATCTTGAAAAGGATTGTTTTGTTTCTGTTTTTTCAACTTTATTATTAGACTGGTAAGATAACAGCAGGGAAAGGTAGCAGGCTACAAACAAAAGCTAACAGAGACCCAGTTGCTGTGGAGCTCTCCAGAAAGCAGCAGTGTTTCTCACAGCCTCTGAGTCGAACCCAGACGCCCAGCTCAATCCCCAATCAAAAGACAAGGGAGGCTGACTGGCTGACTGTTTGTTGACCTCTGCAACAGTGCTCCGGAAGTTGTGGTCACTGAGGCGCTAGATGTGAGAGTTAAAAGTTTAGCACCCCTAGTGGCCTAAAGTTACACAGTGCCCCTTTAAGTTGAGACCAATCAGAATGGGCAATATTTTTCAAATGAGTCATTTTGTAAATTTTTTTTTTTTGAGGTTGTGTGAAATTTAACCCAACTTTCCGGTTTGTATTTAACAAAAGTGCTATCCTTTAATGTTTGACATATTGTTCGTTCAGAAATGGTATTCTACATACATGGTTATAACAAAGGGGTTTGCTCTGTAACATCAAACTTTTGCCCAGTGTGCTTCAGCTAGTGCCATCGACAAGCATTTGCACAAACTCATCTTCCACTCAAGGTTGGACTTTCCCTGCAAACCAGGCTGTGCATGAAAATCACAGATGATCAGCCATCTCTGAAAAAACTCAAACTTCCACATCTGGCTCCAAAAATATTACGACATGTTCTAATTGCTCTGTTTCTAATTCTGAAACTCAGTTTAAACATGAGCAGGTTACATATATGCAATTAGTTTCTGACTCGCAACTGTCTGACCCATGCTTTGGGTGAACAGGAAACTAAAATAGTGCACCTGATAAGTGGTTGGTAGGTAGGTTAGTGAATTTCACTTTTGAAGGTCTGTAGATCACTATTTCTGTCTTCAAACAAGGATAGCCGTAAATAACTTCACAACTTAAACAATTAGTTATCTGAAAACAACACTAGTCTTTCCTGAATTATTTTGCTAATTAGAAAGGAAACTACATTTGGTTTCAAAATTCTGCGTTTCTTCAAATAGTATTCCATTTTTCAAACATCACAATATGAATAAGAAAACAGGCTTTTCAAAATGCTATCACCCAATTATGAAGGATAGTGCACTTCACTTGGAAAAGCTAACAAAAACACTCATATCAGCATCAAATTATTCAGAAATCTGACTTGCACAGTAACAAATATTTCAGAGCATCTCAAAAAGTAGAGAGAAAAAAATCAATAGTTCAAAGCTTTATTTTTTTCCAGGCATTTTTTTCTGCTCTAAAAAACTAATAGTCAGGGCTTTGACAAGAATACACAAGTGCAAAATGTGTCATTATTGAATAATCTCAGGCATGTCACAATGGCTGACTGCTGCTGAGTCCTAAGACATAATCATGAAAGATCAATTAAGGTAACAGACTAAAAAAAGAAAATGCTTTGCAGTCTCCCAAATAGTGTCAGAGGAGACGTGGGTGGAATCTTTGTTTCTAAACAGTCAGTGTAGAAACCAACCTGTCTCATCGTTTTTACTCCCTTCAGAGGTTTTTCCTGTGATTTATGTCTTTCCCTTTACTTTAACCCTGTTGCTACTGTTGCCATTTAAATATATAGAGCTTTCATCTCATAAAGACAGATTTTTGAATAAAGAAAAAAAATAAAATCACAAAAAGGTCACTTGAGAATGCATTTCAAGCATGCAATTCAATTTTCTCACAATAAAACTGCAGAGAAACGGAGATTACGTGCATCTTTCATATATATTTTAGACATTTTTGTTATATTTTGATGATTTTGTTGTCTGACTATAAATACAGCTTGGTATTGGTTTTTAAATGTAGGGTAATACAAATACGGAAGCAAAGGGCTTTTGACATTGTCTTTGCGGGTATTTTTAAGTCCTGGTTAGGAATAAATTACGACACCCCCCATGTATTCCTCTATCAAATTAATAAATATGAAACAGTGTCAAATAATATGTAATAATCACAACAACATAATTCCTCAACAATTCGAAGGAGCTTTAGTGCCTTTAAACATAAAGTTGAGTTTGGTACTCAATACAACCTAATTATATATTATGAGTCTGGTAAAAAATTCTGTTAATCTGTTAAAATTAAATTGAAATCAGTCAATTAACTAGAAAATATATGGTGTCAAAAGACACCATATATTGTCAATTATTTTTTTTCAATGAATCAATTAATAATCGGATAGAAGGTTCCCAAAAGAAGACTTTTTGTGAAATTAAACCAGGTGAAACTTAAACTTTTCCACTTGAGGAGCTCTGAATAGAACATAATGACAGACAAAAAAGTTTTTATCTTAAATGCAAAATGTCTACTTTTGTTTTTTCACATTCCTGGTATAATTACTGCTCCAAGTGGGTTGCTCAATCAGTTAAAGGCACATTTCACAGCCCCTATACACCATTTAACGATAAATCTATTACTAAATTAGTTGACGATTCTTTCAATAATCAATTAATCACGATTAATCCGATTAATTGTTTCAGCTGTAGTCTAGTTGATGCCTTGATCGTGATCTTACTGATATACCGGGTGAAAAGGTGTAAAGAGACTAAATAAGAAAAAAAAGAGTAATCACTTTAATTATCTCAATTTAAGAGGATAACACTACCTAATGTTATTACCCTATGTAGTAGATAAATAAATGATTAAACATAAAAATGAAATAAGACATATAACATATAAACATTGGTAAAAAAGAAAAGAACTGAATAATAAAAACTGTGTTCACATTTATTCCCATGACTCTACATAAATAAACATAAGGCAGCATGAGATTCTCATAGTGTGGTAACTTAGTTTAAACTTGGTAATAACTTTATGGTATGACTGGATTTAGACAAAACTTTTTAAACAGAAATGTATATGATGATTTATTTACTCTAAAAAGAGAACTGTTCCAATGCTGATAAAATACAAATCAAATTCTGCAGTTATAAAACTTTGACATTCAGCTTTAAATACAGAAAATTAGAGGAACAGGTCTTTATTTATGACAACCTGTAATTAACAAATTAACAAATGTGCTGTTTTTCTTTTTTGAAATTTTATATCAAGCCTCTTTGATATACATCTTGCTGAGTGGATGTGTGCAATAACAAAGAGAATAGGGAGAAAAGCTGTCTTGCTTTACTCTAAAATTGAATCAGTTCTAACAAAAAGATGAATATCAACCATAAGAAAATATTTTTTGTTTATTTACCTATATAAATATTTTCTGAATGTGTTGCTGTTGAATTCTTGAGATGCCAGATAATGGTGACCTTTTCATTTAAATCTGCTTTAGTAACTAATAAAGCATAAACACTAAAGATTTTAAATATTGAATAATGAACATAAAGGTTTCTGGTCAGGTTAATCGTATGTAGGCTTTAAAAAAATGCACTTGCTTATTTAAATCAATTTTAGTTTTCAGAGCATGGTAGAAGATATCCATGGAAACGAAGGTGGCCGTAATGTCATGTAATTTGGCAACACTGATATGCTGTAGGCTCCTGTTATATGTGATAAAAATGGCACACCATATTTTAACTTTGTAATCCTTATAAAAATGAAATAACTGACAAATTGTTCGAAGTTACAAGAAACAAGACCCATTGAAGGAACCAGCTCTGCAACACTAAAAACTCAGTCAAACTGGAAGCTACCTCTGTATGCTACTAATCCTGCTGTTTAGCTCAGGCTTCTGACATTGTGTGAGCACTGCAGAATGCAGCATAATGCATATCCGTTTCAAATATGTCAAATTTCAGTGCATGAGGCACAAAGACGGGTTCCATTTGTGCAGAGAGCTCAGCAGATAAATTCAATGCATAACCAGGTCTTATGTGAAGATTATTCTAAAAATCATCTTACCGCATGTTGTAACAGACACACAGAGGTGCAGCAGTAAAAAAGGGTATGTTTTGTATAAAAGTTAAAGCCTTGGTTTTAACAGGAATTAAAAGGTGAGGTCAAACTAATTTGACACCAACATCACAACTGAAATGCGGTTCTTGATGAAAGTTTTAGACAAGTTTGGAGAATTTCATTTCAAAGGTCTTCAGGGTTGACACTGAACACACAAAAATCCAAGCACAAAAGCATCCACTGGAGAAATGTATCTGGTAAGATATCCAGGAGAAGATTTTTATCCCAAAAGGGTATGTTAGATTTGAGGAATCCATTAATGTAAACAAAAATACCCCAGTTTTCAACCTAACTAAAGAGCAAAGTTAAACTTAGGTTGTGTGTCTACAATCAATATACCATACTACAAACAACACAAACAACTCCTGTTTGCTATGGTTTGGGATGAATGATTTATTTTTTTTTCTGTATAACAACCACTGAAGAAATTTCAGTCAGGTCATAAACAGCATATATATACAAAAGATAAG